AAAAGGAGTAATAATTATAACACTATAAGTTATTTACCAGAAGAGAAGTCGTTGATTTGAATTTCTACGCACACACCTTGTATATGTATTATGATTACCAAAATCTTTAGCTTGAATGAGCTCTAATTAGAGAGGTCACATGCTATTTCTCCGCACACACCTTGTGTGTCAATCTATCGTTGTATTTATAACCTTCAATGGGGCTCTAAATTCGTTGCTTAATTAAGCAACTAGAGCATTTAATTTAAAGATATCAGTCTATCAAGTCATCATTGTTATCAAAATCCTGGGTTAGTAGACTAGACACTTTAAGAGTGGAGAATGCATGAGGAGAATAAGGAAATCTCCACGGCTCCACCCTAAAAATCTATCCCTCGCTAAATCTCATACCTACTTGTATATAATATATGCACATTATGAGATTACTACATAAAACTGCATCATTTAATTTTTTAAAAGAAATTTTTGACTTGTTTAACGTGTATGAATAAGCGTATGTTGAAAATGCCTCAAAAAAATTAATAAACAAAACTATGCATGCACACAAACTGTTTATAACTTTGTATGTCTAAATGTCTAATTGTTTCATTTAGGCCTCTCGTTTCACCCTTGTTTTGATGAAACTATTTGATTAGCTAAATACAATTAAAATGCTTTAATGGTTTGGTCAAACTGTTTATAACTTTATATATGTCTAATTGTCTATATATGTCTAATTGTCTAATTTAGGCCTCTCGTTTCACCCTTGTTTTGATGAAACTATTTGATTGGCTAAATACAATAAAAATGTTTTAATGGTTTGGTTTTTGACTATTTACAGTACGATAGTCATAACTAATGACCTCAAAAACATGAACTACTACTAAATTCTGTCAATTCTGATTTGTTAAACTTATAAAGTCAGAAAATTAGTTCCAAAAAATGATGCAATTAGCTAATGAGTAGTTGGTCTAATGTTCAATAGTAGTTCCTTATTTGGTGTCAAAAATGCAGAGCCAAGCCGCCTATAGAATGAAATGAACAACATCGTTAGATTGTGTTTCCCTCACCTACTACGGACGGATTTTAATGTTTATCCCTTCGTTAAGTAATTGTCTCATCTTAAATTTTGTAGGTCGATCAAATTTCTATTAGCACGCTGATCAATGTACAATTTTATTGGTTAATATCTTTAACATGGTGAAATCATAAAAAGCGGTTATTAAAAAAATGTATATGAGGACAATTAAACCAAGATCCCACATGATTACGCATTATCGTAGATATAGATATGACTGCAAAAGTTAGTTAAGATATAGTTTGTGAATAGTGCAAAAGTCAAATGATGTCAACTAAAAAACGAAGGAAATAAGTATTAAATATCACGCGTGTAAAATATATACTACGTAGTTAATTTGCGTTTTTGAATAGGTTACTTCATCCACTCCCCATTAAGGAGTACAAACTACTAATAAAGTACTATTAAATAGAATGAGTAGGATAAAAACAAAATAACAACTCATAAAAATCAACAAAAGGGTAAGAAATTGCTCAAAAAATAATTTTAAAAACTGAAGGGAAATTCTCAATGGTGACCTCCAACTTCTGCTACGCACACATGGTGTCCCTCATGAAAATCAATTATACCAAATGACCTTGTTTAAGATTATATCGTATTTATAAGCTTATTTCATTATTAAGTAGTTAATTAAACCTAATTATGGTTAGATTGTTTTTATTAAAAAATATGAAAAACTAAAAAAATTAAACCAACCACAGTGGGGTGAGCATCGGACGGGTACCCGTACCGTTAGTACTAACGGTTCGGGTACCCAATAACCAAAATCACTAAAAGTGATACCCATAACCGGAACCGATTAGTACGGGTACTCGGATTTCGGGTACCCAGATTTTCGGATCGGTTATCGGGTACCCAATAAGATATCCAATAATGATAATTAAACTTAATTATGTAGTTATTATGATATAATTTACAACTAATTAACAACAATACCATACGATCTTGACCAAATTATTAATAATATTACTAATCATTGATATTATAAAGTGATTATGAAGTAAAGTAAAAGTTTGGATTTATACTAATAGATTTAAGTAGGGTAAAAAAGCAAAAAAAAATGCTTATCGGATCGAGTAACCGTTAATTTTAAAATGATACCCATAACCATATCCGATAACAAATTATCGGAATGTATACCCAAATCGTTATGGTTATCGGATCGGGTACTCTAATTTTCGAAACGGTTACGAATCGGTTTTTCGGGTTTTCGGGTAGTTTTGCTCAGCCCTAAACAACACCCACCTCCACCGAACCAACCTGCCCAGCGACTATCTCCCATTTCGAGGACGCTTCTCCAAGCTCCCTTCGTCGGCGATGCTGCTCCACCTCGACCACCGCCCAACCAAAACCCCCAACCCGCCAAAGACTCTCCTTCTCAGTGCCACCACCACTTCTAACCAATAGGTTCGAACAGGCATAAGCCGGTGACTCAATTGACAATCATGCTGATTCAATCCATACCCATTCTCCTCCCCCTTCTAATAAAAGAATTGTAACCCCCCCACCCCAAAAAAAAAAAAAAAAAAACCGATGTCTTTCCTTCTTTTTCTCCCCTCTTTCCTCCTTTCTAACAAACCATTATTCCCTTAGTCCTTACCTTAACTTCACTCCCACACTTCTCCTTTCTTCCAAAATTTCCAAAATCTTAGGAATTTCAATAACACCCATAGATGAAATCAAATCAAAATCAAGCCTTGAAACCTACCAAGCAATTCCAGGCCTTGAAACTTGCAATGTCACTTCTTCTCCAATTAAAATGTCAAATTTTAAAACCCCCATTTCAAATCCAAATGTTTCAACAATGGTTTTCCTTGTCTTTCAATGGCGGCCAAGAAAGAGGAGATCAGAGAGAATTTGAACCCACTACCTACCCAGTTGCTCGAACACCCTCTCGCGTTGCTTGCACTTGTACCCCCAACCCGCCAAAGACCCTCCCTCTCTCTCCTTATAAGTGGAGTTAAGGATAGATGATAAAAAAAATAAACAAAAAAGACATCATAAAATAAACAAAGTAAAATTGGGTAGAACTTAGAATAACCGATGAAAACAGAAATTTAGTAAGACTTAAGAAACCAGAAGTAGTAATTTGAAATTAATTTTTTTACGGGAAGAAGAAAGATTTGTAAAACATAAAATATTTAAGATGTAAACCTTTTACAGTCAAAACCATAACTATATATTTTGCAAATCTAGCATAACAAACACTCCACCGCTTCAATCTTAATGTGAGTAGTGATTTTTTTTTATGTGTTCATATCTTTCTAAATAGAAACCTTCTCAATCTGCACTGATGTTTGATCGTATAGTTGATGACAAACCATAAACCCATATGAATCCAAACACTTCCCGATATTTTAGAATCGTTAAAATAAAATTTTCATCCTTAAATGATAATCAAAATCCCAAAAAATTGGAACAATCTCTTATAAATGGAGAGAAAAAAAGTGAAGCATGACAAAATTAAATTATAGGGTTGCCATTTTTTTAAATGGAATAATTATTAATTATCACTTCTTTATAGGCCAGTCAATGCCAATGTCAGCCAATATTGGACGTTACAGGAGATTCGACAACTTGGTTCTCATTTTCATCATTTTAACCTAGTTAAAGATAGATTGGGACAAGGTTCAAGCAACACACTTAATTGCTAATAATTGTCGTACTACTCTAGTTAAGTTTTGTGTTTTAGTTCGACTTTGGTTTGCTTATAATATGCTTTTGTCAAAAAAAAAAAAAAAAGAAAAGAAAAACATTCAATAATAAATCCTTTTTTCTTTTTTTCTTTTCTACCTTATTCTCTAGCTATTTTGGTTCGTTGTTTATGTTCTACTCACCATGTTTCATTATTTTTATGGCATACCCTTTTTACAATCTTACATATTCAAACACACAATAACTGCACATTTTATACCTTCTTTCCTACTTTAGTCACCTCTTTCTTATTACCTTTTCACATTCTTTATCTTACACCCATTTACATTCTTTAATAACATTCTAAAGTGTTTTCACCAACAAAAAAAAAAAAAATCTAAAATGTGTACTATAGTAAGGATTTGTTCTCTACAACTTATTTCAGATACTTATTACTTAATAAATTCAAATCAGATCAGAAAGATTCAGATCAGAACTTTTGATTATCATTATTGCTAAATATCGTTAATTGCGTATTAATTTTTTTTTAATAAAAATTACATATTAAAAAAGTTCATAATGAGACGAATCTAACAAGATCCATTTTAATAAAATTTTTCTTTATAAATTAGTATTAAAATGCGGTCAAAGTTTAGCAAATTGTTAAATCAGATTAGACTAGACTAGACCATATCAGAAAAATTCAGATCAGACCTTAAAAAATTCAGACCAGATCTACTTGTTTCAGGTGAAGAGAACAAGTCCTAAATAGGTAAAATATAAAAGAATGGGGGAGTTAATCATTACTCCCTTTGTCTCCAAAAGTTCGACCATTTTGACCTAATTTTAATCCCAAATAATCAATTCATTTGCTATAAAATACCCACCAATATACAACAATATTTGTGCAAAATTAACTTTTCCATATATTTTTTTTTTTCGTATAATTTTATTACTTTTTCTCATATTTTTTTTACAAACCCCACGTAAATTTGTCTTTTCAATAAATTTTTACTTCTTTTTATTTAACTTTCTTAATATCCGCGAAATCAATCCAAAAGGATCATTTTTTCGGAAACGGAGGGAGTAATAACACAAACTTTTATATGTGGTCGGTCATATCATTTGGCCAGCCACTAGGGGTTTCTCTATTATGGTTAGGCTAATCACTCACCAGTCAGCTCGACCCCTTTCCTATTCCGCTTTGCCGCCTATTAAGATAATAGATGTCTCCTTCAAGTGGCCCGCCTTAGTTACGTTATTATCTTATTAATATAGGAGAAACTGTGTTGGTGTTGTGAGGGTTATTTTGTTAGTATTGTCGGGATTAATCTACCAGTATAACGAGGGTTACTTTATCACAGTTTACTCCTTAAATAGCGGTTTTACGTGTAATGTTACGATTTTAGCCTTTTTATTTTGAGAAATTGGGGTGGCCTCCTTTCCTTATACGTCTTTTCCTAAAGTGCCGCCATTAAAGCCCTCCTTAAACCTTTTCTTCTTTCATTCAAAACAACACACTTTCTCTCTTCAACTCACAACTTCACCGCCGCAAAACCCGCCTTTCACCGCCGTCTCCCACCCACCTTCTCTCTTCGCACCGCCTCTTTGTCAACAGTCAAAGGTAAGACAAATCAGTTCCTTCTCATTTGCTTTCTTAATAACAGTATATACTATGTTTTTTTTTTTTTTTTTTTGATAATTTTGACTGACAAATTAGCCATATTGGGTATTTTTGTTGTTTTTCTTCAGATTAATTGATGGGTTCGTCTAATATTAAAGACATTTTGACTTGTTTTAGCCCTTCTCTTGATTTCTTTGCTGTTACTTCTGGTGATGGCCGTATTAAGGTAAACAATCAACAATTTGTTTTATAGTTTAATTTGAATTGTATAGTGTGTATATTGTTTTTGAGTTAATTTGAATTGTGTTTGTTTTTGAGTTAATTTTTCTGGGAATTTGGTTAAATGAGATAATTTTCATTGCATTGGTTATGTGGGGTTTTGGTAGGGTTTTAGGGCTTGTTGAATTAATGCCTTTTTTGTTTGTTTTGGGACATTTTAGATTTGGGATACATTGAAAGGGCAGCTTCAGACTGAATTTTCTGATATCGTATCGTCCGAGGAGACGAATTTGCTTACAAAGCCGGAGAATAGAGGACACCTTTCCATTGATTACACTTGTATGAAGTGGGTGACCTTTGAAAAGAAGGTATTATAGTTTAACTTAGCTAGCTTGGGGAAGGAATTTGTGATGAAATGCTCACATAGCTTTATGGGTTTTGGTTGTTGCAGAAGAAAAGGAAGCTAGATACTTCATTTTTAGTGTTGGGTACTGGCAGTGGTGATGTACTGGCATTGGATGTTTCCGCCGGTCAATTGAAGTGGAAAATCAATGATTGTCATCCTGGGTGAGTTGTTCTGAACTCTTATAAGTCTTTTGTTCTTTTTGCTTGAACGTAAAATGTAAAAGGATTAAGGAGAAAGAACTGTTTTTTTTGAAGTTAAATCGTCCACTCATGTGAATCAGCAAATGTCATTAGAAGTTACAGTTGCTGCTTTTGATAAATGAATAGTTTGTTAAGGGGGTATGTTGGTTTGATTTTGAGTATTTTCTTGTCCGGCGATGGTTTGTGGCTCAAAATTTTTCCTGCTATTTTTTTTGGGTGACGCATTAAGGCATGTGATTATTCCTTTTATTGACAAACTACGGACTGAGGATGGTTGAATTTTTCTTTCTTGTAGAGGAGTTACTGCTATCGCATTTGCTTCTCGGCGTTCTTGCTTGTACACTTCTGGAGCTGATGGAATGGTGTGCGAGCTTGATCCAACTACTGGAAACTTGTTGAGAAATTTTAAAGCTTCAACTAAGGCAGTGTCCAGTTTGAGTGTTTCACCAGGTATGTGAACTGGTACCAGCTTCGTAACTATTCATTTTTGTATACCAGATTACCAGAGGCCTACTGTCATACATTGCATTTGCATTATATATTTTATTTTGCATCAAACTTGTCTGCTCTTAAATTTCCGTCTTTAAATTTTCTATACAAACAAAGTCAATTAAGGAACTTTTTGCATTGGAACTTTCTTGTGAGTTGTGCTCTGGCAATTGAACTTTTATTTAATGACACTTTAGAAGCAAAGGAGCCTCTCTGAGTCTCTGACAGGAGCTTTCTAGTCCCAAATCAAATGTCATTAGACTTTCCATTCTCTGAAGTACAAGATTCATGTAAATATATAGTATAGCATTTTGGTAACCTTAAGTTGCCTATCTTATAAGGAGTTTCAAGTTATATTCGATGGCTAGGTATGGCTGACAGTCTATGAAGAGGTGAGAATGCTTCAATTAAAGGAATCATGTTCCACCTTATCTGCCAAGTAGAAACTGTCAGGAAAAAAACATAATAACCTTTCTGCTACCCTGGTTGCTGGAAATGATCTTACTCCCTCTTTCTATTAATGTCCCTAGTGGTCTTACTGATCTAAGCTAACTAGTACTCATTGCTTATTACTAAGTCAGGTGTCTTGTCACCTATGCAGGACCGTTAGTGGTCCAGAATAAAATGTGAGCTTATTTTGTAGAAACTTAGATATATTCATTCACTTGTCTTGTAATTTTTTATTTTATCATTTGCCTGACATGTGATTTTATATTCTTCTGCTCATTTATTCTGGTTGAATAATGTTTTGAGGTAGATGGGAAGACAATAGTCACTGCAGCTTCTCAAATGAAGATATTTGGTTCAGATCATAAAAAGATTCAGAAGTTTACTGGTCATCCTGTATGTTTTATTATATCTTCTGTTAATATTCTAAATTTTAAAAGTTAGTATTGAATTTTACTTTAAGTACAAGCTCTAAGCCATAATTACATTTCTGTCACTGGTGGTTTAGGGTGCTGTCCGTTGTATGACCTTGAGTAAGGATGGAAAATATGTCTTCTCTTCTGCTGTTGGGGAGAGATATGTTGCAGTCTGGCAAGTAGATGGAAGCAAGAAGCAGTCTGCAAGTTGTGCTCTGGCAATGGAACACCCTTCTGTTTACCTTGACTGTAGGTACGATGATGCAGATGGAGCAGGTTTTTATGTTTTGGCCATTTCAGAGGTGGGTGTGTGCTACTTCTGGTGTGGAAAAGCTATCGAGGAGTTACGGAAGGCAAAACCCGCGAGGATTTCTTTTTCTGTTGAGGATACCTATGACAAAAACAATAAAGGTGTTTCAGCTGCCATATATGCTGCAAATATCCAAAGCACAGCCGACCCTACCGCAATTTCAATATTTCTTGCTCATGGTTTCTTGATCAAGCCATCGTTCGAGAAAATTATGGTTCATCACGGGGAAGATTTACAGTTAAATACCACTAGAAATGGGTTGCTTTTGCCATTAAGCCAGTCTCGTAAAACTAAGAAACAGATGGATCTACAAACTGGAGGTAAGTTTGCCTAGACGGTAAACTTTATAACTTTATGCTTGAAGTTCATCAACTTATGGTTGTGATCTGTCTGAAATTTGAAGTAATGAGAGTCCTATCAGCTTATCAGGCTCCCTAAAAATATCAAAAGAAATGTTCTTCAGGTTATTAGTTCAATTCTTTGGTATGTAAGAATGCAACAACGTATGGTTTTCCAATGTTGGAGCCTTGTTTAGTTGGTCAAATTTCAACCTAGATTTATTCACGTTCATGATTAATTCTTTTTCTGCTATTTTATTGTGTTGGAGGCCATGTGACAATCAATAAAGGATATTTTCTACCAGCCAATCTCAGTGATTATAATATTTATTGTTGCTGTTGTTTCAAAATTTGGTATCCAAATCATGTAGAAGCGATACTTTTTTGTTAGCTGGTGGCATATCTGTTTGTATTCTAAGGATTGTATGCTTATAGTGCTACTTTTATGATAGGAGATAGCAACTAATTTTGCCTTCTTTTCTTCTTAGGCTAATAATGTATATATCTAATGTCTAACAGCAACAACACTAGATCGTGCCAATGCCGAAGGAGCTCTGCTTCCTGTACCAAAGGTTCTTGATCATTACAGAATAAAGCAAGATCAATCATTCAAACTTGACAATAGCCAAGCAGTATCAACTGTCACTAAAGGTAGAATTAATTTTATTCTGCCAGACGGATTCCTGAAAACTATCCTTTATTGTGGAACTGGATACATTGCTGAACATCATTCATCTTTAGTGAATGTCTTACTATTCATGAGGTTAATCTTATTTGCATTTATATGTCAACTCAATCTATCTGAAAAGATTTACTGTGAGGGCAACAAATTGAAAAGATAGGCTAGAAACCCCAAAACTGAACAAAGTATCAATGAAATGTGCTTGCTGTTTATCATTACTTACCATTATTATTCAATATATTATTATCAAGTAATGATACACAAGAACCTTAAAGCTGTCCACATTCTCTTTGACCTTTTGATCTCGACTAGATTCTTGTATATTTTGGTTGATTTTTTTTTTTCTCCTGCTATTTGGGTGTTCAATATTGATGTGAAGGGTTAATGAAAAAGGTGATAAGGGAAATGCATTTGTTTTATTAGGTCTGACAACTTTAAGGTTGTTTGAGCATAGCTTCTTACTCTGGCATCTTTAAGGCTGCTTAGTAATCGTGTCCGCTAAATGACATATGTCATTAAGGTGTTATTAATCAATTGTTACTTATTTTCCTTCTGTACACAGCCAATTTTGATGTTCCAGGAGTTGATGCTACAGCTTGCCCTATGGAGAATAGACTTAAAACTCTGGGTATAATTAGTGATTTGGATGTTCCTACAGCCAAATCAACAAGAGCTTCTAGCTTACTAAAGGAAATCGATATTGGAACTACTGTACCTCCAAAGAAGGTTGATAATCTTTCACATGGATTATGTACCATACCTTCAAGAATTTTTGTAAGTAGTCAGCTGCACCTGTTACCTGTTATGGTTTACTTAACCTTATTTATTTTTGTGTAGATGAGGGCAGCAATCTTGTCCATGCAACCTAGTGATGCATCCAAGATATTGAATGTTTTTGTTGACATGTGGCAGTCGAGGTTGGTTTTTTAGTTGCCTACTGATGTTTCCCCATGAATAAGATATTTGTTAATTATATATTTTAAACATAGATTAGCCTTTTAAAAAAAACTAGCATTATTAACAATCCCTCGGTAATGGGACTGAAAAATGGAATGATTTCTAAGGTATTGCATCAGTTGTTCAATGATATTGCAGTACATCCATACTCTATATTGGTTTCTTGAACTTAAGATATGTTTAATTTAACGAGATTGATCCTTGCGAATAAAGTGGCTTTGCTAGATGCACATTATAATCTTTTTAATAAAAAATCTTTTTTAAGTGGACATGCTAGGAGGAGGCTTCTTGCTAGAAATTGGAATGTACTTGCAAGCCTTATGAACCATTGTAAATGCGAAAATTAAAATTAGCTTCTCACCTATTAGCCTCAATGATGCATGCTTACTAAAAATAGTTACTCAAGACATTGAACTGATTTGTTTTGAATTCTCTTTGGTACGAACAGGTCCTGCAGTGGAAAGTATGTTCTTCCATGGATTTATAATACATTGGTGCATCATGGTCATCACATTTTGTCTCAGGAACCGGAGAATGCTACAATTGCTTCTTTATATAAGGTACTTTAGATCCAGCATCCTCATGACTATATTGTGTCTTAATTTATACTTGGCATGTAACCCGCCTATCATTCTTATTTAAGTCGAGTTGTTCTCTTATCTTGCTGTTATAGATTTAATGATTGTGAAATTTACAAAAGAAGCTTATATTAAGTGAGATCATGTTGCTTGTGTAATGACACAAGGTTGAAAATTAAAATGGCAAATTGAAATCATCATACCTTCATGTGAGAACAGCTGAACTTGTTACCATGACATCAAATTTTCTTAATACATAGGTGCAATATTGTTGCAACTAGAGCTGTAAAAAAGTTGACCCGACTCGAAATACCGACTCAAACCCGATTATTAACCGACCCATCTGAACCCGAAAAAATGGTGACACAAACCCGACCTCAAACCAACCCTAGACCCGAATTGACCCGATTATGTGAGACCTGAATCCGAACATGACCTGACCTAGAGATGACCTGACCCAAATGTAACCCGTAAATTATTAACCTGAACCGAACCCGACTTGAATTGAAATTGATCCAAACCCGTTTTAACCCATCAAAACCCGAATTTAACCCGACTTGTTACTAACCAGACTTGAATTCAACCCGACCCGTTCCTAACCCGACCGAAATTTAACCCAACCCGTTTCAAACCCGACCTGAAATCAACTCGACTTGTTATTAACCAGACCTTAATTCAACCGACTTGTTATTGACCCGACCTGAATTTTACCAGACTATTACTTACCCAACCAAAAAATTCAACCTCATCTGTTACTAACCCGACTCGAAATTAACACGACTTATCATTGACCCGACCTAAATTCAACCCAAATTGGCCCTTACCCAATTTCAAATCACCTTAAATGTAATTTAGACCACCTTATTATTTTGATCAAAGCATTTTGTCTTGGGAGACCAAGTCGGTCTAGGCCAACAAAAGAAAGGAGTATCATCCTCAAATTTAAGAGTTAAATATAGTATATATTTGTTGTATGGTCAAAGGAGATAATAATCTTCCTAAATTATAGCCTAGAGTTCCCTAGTATATTGCCATATATATTACAGTCAAAGGAAATAATTAGCTTCATAAAAATGATATTTATCTATTTATAGTTAGTTGAACCCGAATATGACCTTACTTGGAAATGACCCGACGTGATTGTAACCTGCAAATTATTGACTTGAACATAACCCGACTTGAATCCGAGAATGACCCGACTTGGAAATTACCCAACCTGATTGTAACCCGCAAATTATTGACTTAAACCGAACCTGACTTGAACTCGAGAATGACCTGACTTGAAAATGACCCAATTGATTATAACCCGCAAATTATTAACTTGAACCGAACCTGACTCAAACTCGAGAATGACCCGACCAGATTCTAGCCCGCAAATTATTGACTTGAACCGAACCTGACTCGAACTCAAGAATAACCCTAATCCGTTTTAACCCGTGAAAACCCGAATTAAACCCGATTTATTGATCTCCCGACCCGAATGTAACCAGACTTATTATTAACCAGACCTAAACCCGACCCAAACCCGATAAAAAGTATGACCCGACGTGACCCGACTCAAGCATGACCCAATCCAAACCCCACCCGCATAGGTTATGGAATTAATCCGAGTTGACCCGACCCGAGTTGACCCGACGCACTCTTACCAACCCAAACCTACCCGTTTACGCGAATTGACAGCTTTACCCAAAACCTGTAAAATTTCTCAAAAACCGTGGATATTAGCCTTAAATTTTGGAATTTTTTTTACTTTTTTTCGCCCGGATAGAATTATTGCCAAAATATTTACCAAGGTCCCAAATATCCTTCGGGAGACCAATTGGGTGGGTGGAACCATCCAATTTGCCTTTAAACGACCAATTTACTGGTTTACAACTTACACCGATTTCATTAATGCAAGCCTACCACGAACATTTGTGACAACAAATAACTATCATATATGGTTCCAAACGACATTATATGACCCCGAGATGTACTCCCTAGAATTTAAAGATTTTTCTACACCGGGCCCAAAGACTCCAAAAATTCTCAAAAAGCCAACAATTTTTGAATTTTTTGACTTTTTTTCGCTCGTAAATAAAAATTGCCGAAATGTTTACCATGATCTCTAATGTCCTCCGGGAGTCCAATTGGGTGGGTGGAAACATCCAATTTGCCTTTAAACGGCCAATTTACCAGTTTACAAGTTGTGCCGATTTCATTAACTCAAGCCTACTACAAACATTTATGACAACATATAATGATCATATATGGTTCCAAACGGAATTATATGACCCCGAGATGCATCCCCTAAAATCTAAAGGCTTTTCGAAACCGAGCCTCGAAACTTTCAAAATTTCTAAAAAAACGTGGACATTAGCCTATTTGGACTTTTTTGACTTTTTTTCGCCCGGAAATAAAAATTGCCAAAATGTTCACCATGGTCTCAAATATCCTTTGGGAGACCAATTGGGTGGGTGATTCCATCTTATTTGCCTTTAAACGACCAATTTACCGGTTTATAACTTGCACCAATTTAATTAACTCAAGCCTATTACGAACATTTATGACAACATATTATGATCATATATGGTTCCAAACGGCATTATATGACCCCGAGATGTATCTCCTAAAATCTCAAAACTTTTCGACACCGGGCCTCGAAACATCCCAAATTTTTTAAAATGCGTGGATTTCAATTTTGAAATTTTCTAAGTTTTTTTTCCCGGTAATAAATATTGGCAAAATGTTTACCATGGTCCCTAAAACCCGCCGGGAGTCCAATTGGGTGGTTGGAATCATCAAATTTGCCTTTAAACGACCAATCTACCAGTTTACAACTTGCTCCAATTTCATTAATTCAATCCTACCACGAACATTTATAACAACAAATAATGATCATATATGGTTCCAAACGACATTATATGACCCCAAGATATATCTCCTATAATTTCAAGACTTTTCGATACTGGGCACCGAAACCTCTAAAATTTCTCAAAATGTGTAGATATTAGCCTTTAATTTTGGAATTTTTTGACTTTTTATTGTCCGGAAATAAAAATTGTCGAAATGTTAACCATGGTCCCTAATACCCTGTGGGAGTCCATATGGTTGGGGGGAACCATCCAATTAGCCTTTAAACGGCCGACCCTTAAACCTCCAAAATCTCTGAAAAAGCGTTGATATTAGCCTTTAATTTTGAAATTTTTCTCTTTTTTTCGCCCGAAAGTAAAAATTGCCGATATGTTTACCATGATCCCTAATACCCTCTAGGAGTCCAATTGGGTGGGTGGAACCATCCAATTTTCCTTTAAACGGCCAATTTACCGATTTACAACTTGCACCAATTTCATTAATTCAAGCCTATCACGAACATTTATAACAACATATAATGATTATATATGGTTCAAACGGTATTTTATGACCCCGAGATGTATCTCCTAAAATCTTAAGCCTTTTCGACACATGTACCCTAAACCTCCAAAATTTCTCAAAAATCGTGGATAATTGGCCCTCAATTTTGTTTTTTTTTTTTTTTTTTTTTTTTTTTTTTTACTTTTTTTCGCCTAGAAATAAAAATTGCCGAAATGTTCACAATGGTCCCTAATACCCTTTCAGAGCGGCCAATTTTCTGGTTTACAATTTGCAGTGATTTCATTAACTCAAGCCTACCACGAACATTTATGTCAACATATAATGATCATATATGGTTTCAGACGGCATTATATGACCCCAAGATGTATCACCTAAAATCTCATTTCTTTTCGACACTGAGCCTTGAAACTTTCAAAATTTCTAAATAAGCATGGATATTAGCCTTCAATTTTAGAATTTTTTGACTTTTTTCGCACGTAAATAAAAATTGCCGAAATGTTAACCATGGTCCCGAATACCCCCGGAGTCCAATTGGGTGGGTGGATCCATCCAATTTGCCTTTAAACGGCTAATTTACCGGTTTACAACTTGCGCCGATTTCATTAACTCAAACTTACCACAAACATTTATAACAACAAATAATGATCATATATGGTTCCAAACGACATTATATGACTCCCAGATGTATCCCCTAAAAGCTAAAGACTTTTCGACACCGGGCCCTAAAACTTTCAAAATTTCTCAAAAAGCGTGGGATTTAGCCTTAAATTTTGGATTTTTTTGACTTTTTTTAGCTTGGAAATAAAAATTTTCAAAATGTTTATCATAGTCTCTAATACCCTCCGGGCGGCAGTCCGATTGGTGGGTGGAACCATCATAGTCTCTAATACCCTCAAGGATTTTCGATACTGGGCATCTAAACCTCTAAAATTTCTCAACAGTGTGGATATTAACTTTAAATTTTTGAATTTTTTGACTTTTTTTCGCCTGAAATAAAAATTGCCGAAATGTTTACCATGGTCTCTAATTCAATCCGGGAGTCAAATTAGGTGGGTGGAACCATCCAATTTGCCTTTAAATGGCGAATTTACCGCTTTACAACATGCACCGATTTAATCAACTCAAACCTACCACGAACATTTATGATAACATATAATGATCATTTATGGTTAAAAACAGTGTTATATGACCCTGATATGTATCTTCTAAAATCTCAAAACTTTTCGACACTGGCAGAAACCTAAAAAAAATTCTCAAAACGCGTGGATATTAGCCTTCAATTTTGAAATTTTTTAACTTTTTTTTGCCCGAAAATAAAAATTGAAGAAATGTTTACCATGGTCTTTAATATCCTCTTGTAGTCCAATTAGGTGGGTGGAACCACCAAATTGCTTGAAAACGACCAATTTACCGATTTACAATTTGCACCGATTTCTGTAACTCAAGCCTACCACGAACATTTATGACAACAAATAATGATCATAAATGGTTCCAAACGACATTATACGACCCCGAAATATATTCTCTAAAATCTCAAGTCTTTTCGACACCAGATCCCGAATCCTCCAAAATTTCTCAAAAACGTGGATAAGCCTTTAATTTTAGAAGTTTTTGACTTTTTTTTCGCT